GGTCAATGTGACCTAGAGCTGAGAAAAAGCTGGGTGCAGGTCCTGAAGACAGGGCTAGTGTTCAACCTGGTGTCTGCAAACTCCAGCCCCCGAGAACCAGCCACCCAGTTTCACACTCCAAGAATCTCTCACTGTGGTTATTACTGGGCAGAGAGGATAGAGAGGATAAAGATTTTGCTTTGTTCAAGGGTAAAAACAAAAACAAAGGACAATACTCCTGCAGATTCTGGCTGCTCAGAAGGCTGCAGGCGACTCAGGTTACCCATGTCTGACTAAGCCTAATCAAGCAGAATGGCTGGGCTGTACTGACAGCTCAACACAGCTGCTCTGCACCACGACATGCCTGCAGCCTGTGATGTCCACATACATCACACACATCTGTGATGATGAGTCTCTGCCTAGGAAAAGAAGCTAGCCCACAAAGTGCTTCCACAAAACTGCAAGTGAAATGTCCACTCGATTCCATAATGGAGTTAGAATGGCCAATATTTACAGTATTTAGTCCTTTTCTTTAGTTGTAACATCACCTGAGGTCTTTCCAAGGGTATACTATTCGTGTGTTTTGTTTTTTTTTACTATTCGTGTTTAACCTCAGCTTCTACTGGTCAGCACAACATGTTTGATTCTTACTCTGCTCACAACTTCTCTTAGAGAACTCTGTACAACTTCTCTAGAAAGCTGCGGCACTGCAACAATCTTCTGCAGATCACAATATACCATCACCATTCTTATTCCAGCCTGAAATAAGGGGGAGGGCAGGGGCTGCACTGACACTGTATAGAGCAAGATGCTTAATGGAGGTAGAGCTATAAGGTTACAACTCAGCCTTAAAGCTATCTCGATTTTTTCCTTTTAGTTTCTCATCTACTATTATGACCACCAGGGTACACGCAAAGGTAAAGAAACCCACCTGAAACCTCTGTCAGGCATTAGAGGGCCCCACAAGGCCCCAGAGAGCAAGTAGTCAGAGCAGCAGAAGGTGGCACCCAGCACATGACTGGCGATGGGACTCCTAGCACTGGACTTCAGGGAAGTAATACTCTAACCTCCTGCAGCAGTATGACCAGGAATAGCCAAGAGGGTCTGCTCTGCATCCTGGCCTGATGCTTCTGGGGCATATGCTCTTGGTCCAGCCCCTCCATATCTCAGATCCAGTTTCCTCCCCGCTAAATGCCTCTGGTCACTCTGAAGTCTCAAATCTTGGGAGCTCCTATTCCCCTTTATCTTGAGAGTGTGGAGCCAGTTTGATGGAGTCTAAGCCGCCTGAACCTGCACGTAGCAGTTCCCATGGCTTACCATCTAACACTGCACCGACTCCATCAGGGCTTCTGTCCTGACGGCCAGGTTCACGGTACCCCAATTCTCAGATAACAGATCCAGCCTCTTGACAGTCTCAAGAGCAAAAGCAAACCACAGTAAGTAGAAATGATTCAAGATAAACACACTTTCAACCAAACGAGGGCACCAACTACACTAGTTTAAGAAAGAGCCAAATGCCAAAACAATTTTTAATTTCAATACTAAAGACTCTAACCCTGTGTTCAGCGCAACTTCACTGGAAAGGAATGTAACCTTATTTAAGAAGATGCTTCTTGTCATAAAGAAGAGCATCGCCCACTGACAGAAAAATAGAATTTCTGGGCTTGGAGATCATCTAGGGCAACTCGCTTCTCTGACTGAAGGAATATCAAACTCCGAGAGGGCAGGAGCATGACCAAGGTCCCGGGCGCGCGGGGAGGGGGCAGCCCCGCGTCTGTTCCCCCGCCTGGGCCCGCGCACCTCCTCCGCCTGTTTGCGCAGCGCCTTCTCACGCTCATACTGCGTGAGCAGCTGCTCGTTGTCCTCGCGCAGCAGCTCCAGCTCCACCTCGTGCTCCTGGTTCTCGCTCAACACCGAGTCTAGGTTCTCCAGCACGTTCACCACCAGAGGCATGAGCTCCTTGACCACCTCCTCATCGTAGCAGTGGATGAGGCGCTCGAACTCGCGGTAGATGGAGCCCGCCAGGCCCGACACGCGCTCCGACATCACCGAGCCCGAGCAATAGTCATCTTGATACACCACTACCCCGCCGCTCTCGTCCATCTGGATCTCCATCATCGCGGCGGCCACCGCGGCCGCCAGCGCGGCTCGCTCCGGCAGCCCGGATTCAAAGGCCGCTGTCGCCTCAGGCCTGCCGGCGTCACCTCAGGCCGCAGCTGCCACCCCCGCCGCAGCTGCTAGCCCGGCCGCGCCCGTCACTCGCTCACCGGGAGAAGAGGATTGAGCCGCATCGCGCCCCGCCCTGCGTGGTGATGTCAGAGGAAGCGGGGTAGCTACGCTTCCGGCCGCGTTTTTCCGGGACTGGCGGTCGTTTCTAAAGTGAATGCTAGGATGTTTCACTGAGATGGCCAGGACGTGTGAACAGCATGGTCCCTGGTCCGCTTCTCCACCGCACTCTATCGCCTTTACCCTGTCCGCTTTATTTTTTCAGGCCTGTGTAATCTATTCAAGCTGCCCACAGGGTTAAACTTCGATGTTCCTGGATATTTGGCCTCCACTTGGCCCGTTTTGCCTGGCTGTTTCCTACATGATAGGTGGCTTACGTGATTCCCAAGCAGCTCCGTATTGGTAGGCCTGCTTTGCGCAGGCGCTCCCCAACTCTGCGCTAGGGTTCCCTCGAAGCTTCCTTCAGTAATTTGAGGCCGGAAGGTAAAAGTTGCTCTTTCCCCAGGCACATCGTGAACTCAAGATTCAACAGTTTGGGGCCCTTGTGGCCATTGTGAATTAAATCAAACCCCATTACTGACTAATGCTAAGTGAAGTGGTTTCTTTTTTTTTTGTTTTGTACCAGGGATCGAACTTGGGACCTTGCGCTTTCGAGGAAGGTGGCGGAACCACTGAGCTAAATCCCCGGCCCTGAAGTAATGTTTCTTACCCCTGCTCGTCCCCATAGTTCCAACCCTCATCGTACTGACTGTCCCAAACCAATGTAGCTTCCTGTAGTGATGCCCTAACCATTTTTCACCTCCCCCCAACATAATTTGCTGTGTAACGATGTTCACCTATACCCACAATACGTGTCAGTTTCTGGCTGCTTGGGTTTTAATCCTAAGGGACTTAAATCTTACAAATCCACTTCCAAGCCTGCAAAGCTGATACCTACATATTACCAACCTATTGGGAAAGTGGCTTAAGGTGTGGAAGGGAAGTGGCACAGCTCTATAAAATAGTACCTGCAATCAATATTACCTACAATTGTTAGCTTTGTATTGTCAAAATTAAGAAGCATGACAAACACAAGAAATGTGTAATTCTTCCTAACGAGTAAGTTACAGAGCAAGCTTGTGTTTTGGGAGATGTTCAAGGTTTCTGCTTTAGGCCTTTTCCAGAAATCTAACCCTTGAACACTCCCCAGGAACGCACCACAACAGGGCAGCATACCACAGGGAGGGGCCAACAGAATCAGACATCAACCTTTTAAAAACTATAAACATGGTAATGCTGGATAATTCTTGGTGCTTACTGCATGGCACAACTGGTCTGCTCCTTAAGCTTTTTCAGGTTTGGAATACTTTCTCATCAGAAGACCCTAAAATGTAAAACCGGCACACATATTTCAAATGTTCTACTTTAATTTCTAAGTATCTGCCTGAATGTCTGTTGAAGTCACAGGGGTAATGCCTCTCATTTCTTCATAAGTTAAATTTCAGACAGCACTTTGTGATCACACATAAAACAGGAACATTTATTTCACTAATATTCTCCAAAAATGCCAAGGATTAAGGAAATAAAAGTTCAGAAAGAATGAACCAGAAAACAGCCAGAGGTATGTGCATGCTTGCAAGGTCTGACTCCCTAAGGGACAATGCATTTTTTTTTTTTTTTGGCAGTACCGATGATCAAACTCAGGACCTTGCACTTTCCAGGAGGCACAGGAGCACTGAGCTACATCCCAGGCCCTGACAGTGCATTTTTGAACTAGGGCCCAGTCTTCAAGTGGCATCTACCTCACTCTTAAACACAGGTAAAGCCACAGGGGCCCAATCCTGGCCTCGGTAAAATTTCATTGCCTACACCTCAAGCAGTTGCTACTAACAGGTAATATAATCCCATCAGTGCCTAACCCAGGTCTTGGAACTTACTCTACACTTAATCATGTTAATGAACGAGGCAGACAACCCATGTTGGCTTTCTTTGTGAAGTCTTGGTTTTCACTGAGGCCCCAATCCAATGGGCAGGATGATGTAGAGCCTCCTAGAGAGGCTGTTTAGGCAGGCAATCTGAAGAGCTTCAACTTCCTGAACCCACACAGTGTCTGGATTGTAGGACACAGGAAAATAGCCAGTAGAGGAAAGACATCCAACCTGTGCTTTCTCTACAAGACTTGCATCTGACAAACTCCAATGCTCAGCACCTCACTTATTCATTGTAAGACTTGTCACTGGGGAGTTTCAAAGCCAAGTTGAAGGCAGATTAACCACTTAACAACAGTTTACCTTGAGGGTCACTCCAGCAGCACATTCCTTTATATACCATGCCAAGCATTGCTCAGGCAAGTGTCAACCAGTCAATTTTTTTTTTTTTCGGCATATTGGAGATCGAACTCAGGACCTTGTGCTTGCAAGGCACGTGCCAACCAGTCAATTCTTGTAGTGAATAAATCTGATAAAACTGTCATTTTTATATTTGCTGTTATAAAAATTATCAAAAATATGCAATTTTTGGTTGTCCTATATTTAAACAATTAGACTGATAAGTGGTTAAAGACCTTAAGTTCTTTAGAATAAGTGGTGTGAGAAAAAAGAACCATTATATTTAACTTACAGGACATTAAATTAATCATAACTTTTGACATACTCTCTTCATTCTGCCCAAAGCTTTGAGACTGATTTGCATCTTTTAGATAAATGGGAAGTGGGGGGTCAGGACAGAGGGCTTCTTCACCAATGAAAAGCTGTAAGGGAAGGAACAGAGTTCAGGCATTCTATTTGAGAGTACACGCACAAAAACCAGGCAAATACTGAGTTCAGTTACTAAATTTAATTCAACTGTTCTACCCAATTCTGCCTTGTAAAAATAAAAAAGGTTCCTATCAAAATTACATTGTGATGTGAGGACGGGTTTCTTGCTTTGATACAGCTGTAGAAAAATGTTGGCACCAAATGCACTTAAAAGTTTTAAGGCTTAATAAAAATACCGAGATCGGTATTTTCTCAATGCAGCTTGGAGATTGAGAACAGGATGCGACTTTGATGCAGACAGCATTTTCCTAATCCAAGTGACAACACACTGCCGGGCTTACCTGGGCAGGGCCACTTCTCCTGGCACTGAGGGCACTGCCCAGGCCCTAAGCTTAGAGGGGGATAAGGCATGAAGGACATAAGAGCAAGGCAGGGTGCTCTGCTGCCCAGAGGCCACTGGTGTAAGTTCCATTTCCCCATTTCCACCCAGAAATCCCTGCCAGTGGGTGGAAATAGGAGCCTCCTTTGCACTGGGTTGATAACAGAGGGGCAGTATACTAATGTCACAGTTCTTCTTGGCAACCCAATTTGGAATTCACAGATCATTTTGTGAGAAAATACAGTCACAAATGGTGTTCATTATTACTATTAGAATACTTTCTTGTAAGTTAAACAAGTTAGTGTGTTTGCACTTAAAAAGCTAAGCATCATTTAAGACTCTTTAAAAAAAGGGAAAACACTAATGCCTTAATTTCAAATGACATTCTCATAAATGACTTTGAACCACAACCCATTTGAGTTCTCATGATATCACCTGGAATTTGTGTCTCCTGGCTCTAAAGTCTGCAGGGCAACTGAAGGGGGAAACTCTTTGGTTGACATGTATAGACTCCTCAATGTGCCAGGAACAAGATGTAGAGCTTAGCACTTGGTACTACTGCAGGCACTTAAAAACAGCTAGGCCAATGTAAGTATAACTGCACAGAGCTGTTGCTTTTCCAAGTTTAATAATGATGAGGTTTCTAGCACCTGGTATGAGCTTTGTAGGCATTCAGAGCAGTAGCATCACCATCTGACCCTCTCCTGTCATCTTAAAGCAGGGAACTGAGGCTGCAGCCCTTCCAGGGTTACCTCTGCCTGATAAATGAAGCAACATGACTTTTGCCAGATCTGTATCTTCACTAGTGAAGGACAGTTGTGACTCTGCTGCCAAATTAACATCATGGTCTAAGGAGCAATGTTTGCGAATATGACCTGGAGGTTCTGCAAAGCTTTTAAAAAGTGGCTCAAGTAGCTCTTCTTCCTCTTTGGTGTGCCTAAGCAAGGGACTTTTTTTCTGGAAGTTGTCAGAAATGGAGTCCATAGGCATTTTTGTGAAGCTGATTCTTAAAAAAGTTTTTTTTTTAAATACTGTTAAAGAAGTCAACCTAAGAATCCAAGGTTCTCAGACTATCTTCTTCACCAAAAAGAGAAACAAAGTGAAACACAGCAAAAGTTTGAATAAGCCCAGTGCTCAGACATAACCAAGTAGATTTTAAGCCCTGCAGAGGCCAGTAGGCCTCACATGTAGGAAGAGCTGTGGCTTGGCAAGGGAATGCTACATCACCAATGAGGAACAAAGGCTGATGAAAGGAAAAACAAAAAAGGAACAACACAAGCAAACCTGGCATGCTAAGGACCACAATTAAGTTCCTGTAGGGAAAGGCAGACAGCTGCATGAGAGCTGGCCAGGGAACTAGATACAGGAACTGGGCAACTCAGAGGATCAGGGCACAAAAACCTTCTGTAGAGCACCAGACTGAAGACAACTGCTCAGTTTTGTTGGCTGCTGATGAGGAAGAGCAACGAAGAGTGCAGGACGATACAGTGGGCATAAAATGAAAAGGAGACACTGGGGTTCAACAGTAATCTCAGAAGTGAGAGCCATATTGGTGACAAGTAAATACCATTAGGATCTAAAGGGGGTGCACAGAGACTTCAAAATCTTCTTAGTGTTTCTTTTTTTTTTGTACCGGGGATTGAACTCGGGTCCTTGAGCTTTTGAGGCAGGCGGTGGAACCACTGAGCTAAATCCCTGCCTCCTTAGTGTTTCTGCTCATGCTTATTTCCTCTGTCCCACAGAAATAGACAGATTGTCATGTTTTCTTTCAAAAGCTTTAAGATGCTCAGTCAGCAGATCACTGATGCAAAGGAAAATCTAACCCTCCTGCTACCCTGCACCATCTCCCTCCCCTCATCCATATTAGAGTTCTGCTCCATCAGCAACAACAAATGGGTAGACCCCAAGGGAGTCCCACTGTTTCCCAACAGATGAGTCCCTCAACAGTCAGGAAGGCATGGACTTCAGTGCAGTTCTCAGGACCACAGGAGAGCTCTGAGCAACCAGCCTCATACACACACAAACCCTCCCACCCCATTCTTTTGGGCTAAAGATGGTAACATCTTATACCCTATTTCGAGTTTCTGGTCTGGCTACAAGGAGCCTCTCAGTAGAAGGAGATGCTGGATTTGCCTCCAGGCGGGTTCAGGACCTTGTTATGAGAGCGAGGCCGTGGCCCCAACCTGGGCTCATGGTTGTCGACTGTGGGCATGGGCTCCAGCTCCTTGGTGTGGTCCACTTCTCTTGAGCTTCCCTTTGTTCCCAGCTCTTCTTGTGACGAGGTGCTTGTTGCAACTGTGGGACAAAGTCAGCACAATGTCCATTAGAAGCAGCCACTGCCCTGCCAGGTAAGCTGTGCTAACAGAAATCAGTGTCACAGAGAAGCTAGCAAGAAATTCAGAAGGTGACAAGAAAAGGGGAGAAAACAAGGCCAGGCTCTCCATCCTGCACCAAGGCAACTTAGTGTGCAGATGCAGTTCTGGAATTGAGCAGTTAGGGCTGACTACTACAAACCTTGCTCGAAGATAGGCACGATAGAGCAAACCTGTAATCCTAGAACTCTGGGAGGCTGAGGGGATCCTAAGGGGACCCTAACTTCGAACCCAGCTGGGGCAACTTACTAAGCAAGGTACCATTTCAAAATTAAAGAAAAAAAAGGGGGGGAGGTGTAGCCCAGTGTGAAACCCTGGGTTCAATCCTGACCCGAGTAGCAAAAGGGGGAAAAGATCCTTGATTTCTTCTAAATAAGTTATCTATTATTCTAAATAAGTTATTTATATTATTATTATACTCCATTCCCATTTCTCCTATTTGAATTATAAAAAGCAAAATTTTGAGTGTAGAGACTATGCCTTATCTGGGGATTTAGTAAGGGCAAGGCAGTTTCTAGTCACTCACTATTCATCCAGATTTTTTGAGCAAACGGGAAGACCAAACCAATTTCCAGATGTATCTGTCACCAGCTAAAAGAAACGGTGACCCAAAGGCAGAGATCAGTGCCAACATTAGAAAGATCTGCATCTTAGCTTAGACAACCATGGGGCAACTCCCAAGTTGAGCTCCAGCCTGAGGCCTAAGACAATTGCTCCTGAGTGAAAGAGACAAAGCCTGGGGCTCTCCCCATGCACAGGTCTCTTGCCTCCTCCTCTCTTTATACTCTTCTCTCTGATCTTCATTCCGTCTGCTCTACCCGTGGGCAGGTGTTTATTAGGGGTTTTGGATCCTTACCCTTTAGGGCAGAGATGAGCTTCTGTTGAGACAATACCTTGGTCTCAGATCTAGGTTGACTAGCAATGAGTAGCATAGAAAACCTAAGGTTTTATAATAACTGTACCCATGTCCCCCCTACAGCCTTCTTCAAACACTAAATCCTCTCAGCAGTACATATATCCAGACTGGTCAGTGGGCTTAGGAGGTGCCAAGAAATCCTTCTGTTCTTTGAGGCACACCACACCTCTTCTTTCGGAGCAAAGCCATGTAGAAGGGGAGGAAACAGCTCACCTTTTAGCTCTGATTTTGGGTTTTCTCCTTCACACAAAAGTGTGTGGTCCTGCAACAAGACAAACCATCATGTCAATGCCAAATTCAGAACCTTTCTACCTTCATCCCAGTGGTAACAAAAACCTGGGCATGAACAACTTAAGTGTACTTTTAATGTTATTTATTTATTATTTTTTTAAAAAGTTTTTTGAGATAAGGTTTTGTTATTCAGGCTAGCCTTGAACTCACTATGTAGCTCAGGCTGGCCTCCAACTCACAGCAATCCTCCTACCTCAGCCTCCTGAGTGCTGGGATTACAGGCATGCACCACCACACCTGGCACTAACGTTATTTAAAAATAAATTTTTTTTTTTTGTACTGGGGATCAAACTCAGGACCTTGGGCTTGTGAGGCTGGCAGCGGAACCACTGAGCTAAATCCCTGGCCCTAAAAATAAAAATTTCTGCAGTACTGGAGACTGAACCCAGGGATTTGCCCATGCTAGCCAAGTGCTCTATCACTGAGCTACACCTCCAATCTTTTTTATTTGAGAAAGGGTCTTGCTAAATTGCCCAGGCTAGCCTGGAACTTCCCAGGGTGTTGAGATTATAGGCACATACCACCATGCTCAGATAGTAATTTCTTAAATCAGTCATATTTTAAAACACTAACATATTTTCAAGGTTCAGCGACATTACAGCATCTATCAAAATGTCATTCCTTTTTATGACGCCGTAACATTCAAATGTATGGCCATGTATTTATTCATTTGTCTGTTTACAGACACGAGTTTGTTCCACCTTTGACTACTGTAAATAATGCTATGAAAACAGGTGTGCAAGCATCTGTTTCATTTCCTGTTTTCAAATCTTTTGGGTAGATACGTGAAATTGCTGAATAATGTTCTATGTTTAACATTTTGAGGAATTGCCAAACTCTTTTCCATAGATGCTGCACCATTTTTCACTCCTACCAGCAACGTATGAGGGTTCTAATTTCTCTACATCCCCAACACTTGTTATTTTCCATTGAATCCTAGTAGGCATGACATAGTACCTCAATATGGATCCTGATTTGCATTTCCCTGATGACTGCACAAGTTGTGCATCTTTTCAAGTGCTTATTGTCATATGTATAGCTTTTTGTTTTTGTATGTAAAGCTTCTTTGGAGAAATGTCTATTCAACTCTATCACCCATTTTTGAATTGGATTATCTTTTTTAACCTTAATCAAGTGTTTAATTTGCAAATATTTCCACCCATCGGCTTGTCTTTGTCCTGATAGTGTCCTTGTGATGCATCAGTTTTTTATTTTAATGAAATCTATTTTTAATTTTATTGCTTGTACTTTTGGTGTCCTATTTAAGAAACCACTGCCAAATCCAAGACCATAGATTTGTCCCTGTATTTTCTCCTTAGAATTTTTTTCTTTTAGAGAGTGTTATTACGTAGTTCAAGCTGGCCTCAAACTTGTGGCAATCCTCCTGCCTCAGCCTCCCAAGTGCTGGGATTACAGGTGTGTACCACCACACTAAACTCATAAGAATTTTATAGTTTCAGCTCTTAATTTGAAGACTTTTGAGTTTCTTTTTGTTGTTGTTGTTTTTTTTTTTTTTTTTGGTACCAGGGATTGAACTTGGGACCTTGCACTTGCGAGGCAGGCGCCAGAACCACTGAGCTAAATCCCCGGCCCATGAGTTTCTTTTTTTATATGGTGTAAAGATTCAACTATTTTTTTCCACGTGCATACTGAATTTTTCAAACACCATTTGTTGAAGCAATTGTTCTTTTCTCATTCTATGCTTTTGGAATCCTGGTAGAAAAAACAAAACAAAAGAAAACAGCATAGATATGAAAGTTCGTTTGCTTGTTTTCCTTTTAATTTTAAATTTTGAGACAGGGTCTCACTAAGTTGCTCAGGTTGGGCTTGAACTTTTGATCCTGTACCTCAGGCACCCAGTGTGCAAGAGTTACAGGCATGTGCCACTGTGTCTGGCTGAGGGTTTCTACAAATTCTATTCTACTAGTCAAAATGGGTGTCCTTAAGTCAGTATAATGCTGTTTTCATTTCTGCTGCTTTGCAGTAAGATTTGAAATTGGGAAGCATGAGCTTCCAGTGTTTTCTCACGACTGTTTTGGTTATGGGGGGTGTGTGGCCAGGATGGGACACCTTGAAATTCGATATGAATTTTTGGGTACCGTTTTCCATTTCTACAAAAAGTAGTATTGATCTTCTCTTCTCGGTCTCTCCTTCCTTCCCTCCCTCTTCCTTTTTCCTCCTGCAATGTCTGGAATCAAAATCAGGGCCTCACACACACTAGCCAAGCACTGTACTCTAGCCCTGAAACGCCCTAAAGGTAAGCAGTTCTCCACTAGGGAAGGAGCCCAAATAGCCGAACACAGACCTATAGCTCCAGCCCCTCTTTCTCTAAGATCTCCCTCTATTATTTGTTATGCAGTTTCCTACTTATTGCATTATACTGAGTGATGAGTACAGTGTCCATACTTGATTCTAATATGATTCCAGCTTGATTGGGTTTTTTTGGTACTGGAGATTGAATCTAGGACCTTACACATGCTAAGCAATCATTTTACCACTGAGCTATATCCTCAGTCCTTTTTTCCCCCTCAGTACCAGGGATTGAACTCGGGACCTTGCGGTTGTGAGGCAGGCGGAGGAAACACTGAGCTAAATCCCCGGCCCCCCTAGTCCTTTTATATTTTCAGACAGGGTCTCCCTAAATTGCACAAGCTGGCCTTAAACTTGCAATCATCATCCCTCACCTTCCCAGTAGCTGGAAAGTACAAGTGTACTTGGGTAGTACAAGTGTACCAGCACGCTCAGTTTTGGGCTGACCTTAAAGGTAGTCCATGGTGAACTTCTATTATGAAGCCATAACTGTTGGCTGTTTCATTCTGTGCTGTTTTCAGCCAATAATGATCATCACAATTTTATCACAAGTTTGCCACACAGTGACACTATGTTATTCCTACTTTGTTTACAACCTGAAGTCCTTTTTTTTCCTGAGGTTTCAATGTTACCCAGGCTGGCCTCAAACCTGGGAGTCTCCTTTCACAGGAGTATATAGCATGCCTTGTTCCTGGAGTACAGGTTATCTTGACAAATATCTCATGCAGGAAATGCTGGTTAAATACTCCATTTTATCCTCTTCTAGATTTCATAACAATGAGTTGACTCTGACATTTTCCAGTAATCTCAAATTAGTTTAAAAAAATTTTTATTTTTAAGTGAACATTTTATTTTTTAATAAATTTTATCTCATCCCCAAGCCCCCTCCCCTCCCTATGTACAAAAGCTTTGTTTACATTTTTTTTCTATTTTCATTTTTTTCTTGTCTCTTCCTTCTGTTTTCCCTCCTTACTCCCTTGTTCCTCTTCCCATTTCCCAACATCCATTATACATCTCAGTCCTTATTTCCACATTCAGTTTCTCACACCAGAGAAATAATATGGTATTTAAACATGTGTGTCTGATCAAATTAGATTTTTTTGAACCTATGAATTCTAAATAGTTGGTGAAATCTGTTGCAATTATTATATTTAATAATGACCAAATGGTTCCTCTGCAGGCCATGGATCCTTCTCACATTGGCTCCCAAGACTTCCAATAACACCCCAGTGTCTATGATGGCTTCCTAGCTTTCCGGTATTGTACAACACTCTAGGATCATCTTGTTTGTTTGTTGGCCTCAGCTTGGAAATGGTAATTTCTCCAATGAGGCTGGGGTTCTGTGATGCTCCTTGGTCAAAAAGCCTTAGGGCTAAGGATTTAGCTCAGTGGTCCTGTTGCCTGCCTTGCAAGCTTAAGGTCCCAAGTTCAATCCCCAGTTAAAAAAAAAAAGCTTTTACATTTAATATACTCAGGAAGTTCTATTCTGATTCCTCTTGTTCTGTGCTCAGTTGTACCAACAGTCCATACTCCTCCACTCAGTCTATTCACTACATTATGAATCCAAAGCTCCTTCCTGTGTTTGGCTATTTGGGCTCCTTCCTTAGTGAAGAACTACTGACATTTCATGGCTAGTCAAGGTGTGGCAGAGCCCCACAAGTGGTCTCTTTGAAATCAGCACCATAGTCTATCTAGTACCCACTAAGTTCCACAAGACTCCAACCTGGAAATGGACATCACTACACACAGTTCAGTGCAGGAGATACAGGCTGGGCCTGGCCAGACTTTCTCACACATCTCATTTTAACTCTGCATCGTGCCATCTTCTGGAATGTAAAACAGTAACAGCGGAGTAATGATCCATGCACAAGTAACTCCAGAAATGATTATGTGTTTTGTCTTAAGAGAATCAGACCCTAACTTTTCACCACAAACAAGGTGGAAAAGCAAATACCTTAAGAGACTGCTGATTATTTTGGTAATAATAAAGTCCTAACTTTCATAACTGTGAGTTCTGGCTAAAGGAAGCCCTGGAAAAGTTCTGCCACCATTCAAACCAATAAACCTTTAGTCTAGGGCTGTGCAGATTCTGGGATTCAGGGAAATCAGGACTGGCTTTGGTCAACCCTCTATCTCAGACCAGGAAGTTCACAGATCTCATCAATACTTCCTAAGGCCATGTCCAAAGTCACATTGCTGGGCAGGGGATTTAGCTCAGTGGTTTCGCAGCCTGCTGAGCAAGTACAAGGACCTGCTTGTGCACAAGGATGACCCGGAGTTTGATCTCTGACCCGATCTCCAGTACCACAAAAAACAAACAAAGTCACATTGCTCAGGCTGTTGTGCCCAGATTGCGAAGTCCCAAAGACCACCAGGAGGCCGTTTCTGATGTAAGCACACGAGGGTTGTTTATTCAAGCTTAAGCAGGGACTCTCAATTGTCACCAACACAGCGGATCGAGATTGAGAGCCCTGAATTCCAAATCAGCAGGGTTTTTATTGAGATTACAGCAAGCTTTGGTCATTAGCAGCCATATGATTGGTTAACATTTAGCAAGTATGAAGTGTAGATTTCTGATTGGCTAGGCTCATTGGGGGTTGAAGGGGATTACATATAGGTTTTTACAAGGAAAATAGGGACAAAGGTTAGTGGCCTACTGTCACGTGCTGATGGTCAGCAGACATCTTGACTAATGGTCATGACCACCTTGTGTGGATAGTCAGCACATTAACAGATTGTCCTATAGATAGTGGGCCCGGGACACTTGTTTCTAGGGCAAACAGATGGCTGAGTAATTAGCTTAGGAATCTTGAGTTACAGATCATGTCTTTTGTCCCAGATTAAGCACATTTAATCATTAATTTGAAAGAACAAAGGAGACTGCTCCATTTTGGACAAAATGGAGTCATTCTGGTCTCACATTAGCAAAATGGAGTCACTTTTGGTCTCACAAGGCCTTCTATGTTCCAGCAGCCTCCGAGTTGGCACTGTAGGTGAGGAGACCACGCTCATCTCATTTCAAGGGCACCTTTATTGCCATCAGAGACCCAGCTATGCTTTAGCCATAATTCAGAGATAACAAGTACAAGGACATTGAATCTCGTTTGTTTTGGTTTTCTCAGACAGGGTGTGCACCACCACACCTGGCTTAAGACCTTGACCTTGGGTGGGGAAATACAGAACAAAAGCCAGGTGTGGTGGCCACAGCTGTAATCCCAGCCCACAGGTACCCCAGACAGGAGAGTTTTGAGTTCAAGGTCTGCCTGGGATACATAGTAAGACCCTGTTCTCAAAAAAACAAAAAAATAAAAAAATAAAAAAATAGAGCCTTTCATCTTTCTTTTCCAAAATTAAGGATAGTGAAAAATGTATGAGGGACAAATTCCTATGCTGTGTGCTTAGTCACCACTCCTTAGGCAGCATGGTAAACTGCAGCATGACCGCCTACAGTGGTGTCCGTTGCTGTGGACACAAATGGATCCCCCCTAAGGCTCCAGTAATCATAAGGTCTAATCATGTTCCTGGGTGACTCAGGGGAGATTCCAAACCCAATGATGTATGACTGGGAAAATCAGTATCATCCACCTTTTCTCTTCCTAATAAGGAGTTACACCTGCCTTGGAGCTTTTTGTTTTTTTGGTACTGGGATCAAACTCAGGTCCTTGAGCTTGTGGGTCAGGCGATGGAACCACTGAGCTAAATCCCCAGCCCCTCAAGCCTTTCAAAAAGAGGACTTGGCTCTCTTTTTTCCCCTTTCACGTCTGCTATCTGAACAGGGTCCAGGTAGGAAGCAGTTCTACATAACTCTGGGGAAAAATCATTTCACAATTAAAATTATAATTAGGCTTAGTTTTCTGGCCTACTGGCCAGCAACTCTCCATTTTCGCCTCCAGTCACAGCTAAAACCTCAGTGGCCCAGGGCAAGATTACAACAGCTGAAGACATCCTGGGGAGGAACAAAATCTACATCTGCATAGTTCCTCATTGTTCTAGGATTTTCACTGCCCTCTAAGTCATCTACTACCCTGTTGCCCTCTGAGCCACCTGTTACATTTGTTACTCCCAATATACTTTCGTCTTTGCTGCCAGAGCAGCATTGATCAGGCTCAAAGCTCAGCTTCTTCTGTAAGTTTCATTTTTCTATCTTTTCTGTCTAATTAATTCGCCTTGTGCTGTTGCAGCTTGCAGGAGACTAAGGCTTACTGCAGAGGTTCTAATAACTTCCCCTTCCCTGTTCCCTACAGGGCCATACCTTGGGTTTGTTTGGGTGTGCCAAGGGTAAAGTTGCAGTGACTGGGGAACCAAAAATGTCACTAGTCTTCCCACCAGGTGGGTTCAGACGGTGTCGGGTCTGCACAGGAGTTGATTCATCAAAGATTCCACTTCCTTTCCCTCCTGCAGAAACAATCACAAAACAATGAGCAGCAAAACACCCATCTGACCCTCCCTGCCACATTCATCACTGCAAAGACTTCCTTTCTGAGTATCCTGGTGCCAGTCCCGAGTTCCAGGCAAACAGGGTAGGGATGATCAGTCCCTAAAGCTTCCCCACAAAGACTTATGTCCCAGCCAACCCCTTTACCTGGGGCCTGCTGCAGCCTTCAGGTCTAGACTTTAGCTGGTCTCAAGAAAGGAGAGGGAATAAAACAGTACAATTTCCCTCGAGAATTTCTTTAACCCTGCACGTTAAGTCTTCTTTGTTAAACAAAAAGTTTTTTAGTAGATTATAAGAGCTAAATGTTTAGTTCAGAGTTCTGAAGTTAATAACATGCCCTATTCAAAGCAAACCTGTAATACAGAAAATAACATTTATTAGCCCTTTTGATCTCATTCTGGTTGGAACTTCCTGTGACAACTAAACACATCAGTAATTCACAGACATGTAACATCCTTGCTGCTGAGTGAGTTAACAAGCTGTGATGAAACTGTCCATCTCAGATGGAGCTTCATACACAAGAATGCCTGGATGCCCATTTAGGGAGAGAGATGGCTGGCTACAGTATGATATCAACTGACATGTCTTCATTCAGCACACACCACACACCTACCTATCACAAAGCACTCTGCTAAACACAAGAGATGTTACCAAAATCACAGTGTTGGTGAGCCAAGTTATCATCTACAAGAGGAAAGAAGATGTATCCCCCAAGCTAGCCATGTGGCTACATGTAAATTACTTAACCTTATCTCAAATTACAAAATTTAAAAACAAAAAGGGGCCGGGGATATAGCTCAGTGTGAAGGCCCTGGGATTCACCCCAGAACTGAGGAAAAAAAGTGAAAAGAAAGAAAATTGTGATACTAGGGATTGAACCCAAGGTCTTCACACTAAACCACACTCCTAGATTTTTTTTTTTTTTTTTTTTTTACATTTTAAAACAGTTGCTTTTTAGATAACCATGCTGCTGCCACACCTGAGCCAGAATGCTGTGAGCATGTGGCTGGAGCCTGGTCTCTTGCTAGGGTCTTAAGGTCTCTACTGCTGGGAGGGGCCTAAAGCAGAGCAGCCTTCTGAAAGGCCTCAGCTTCTAGGGGTACAGACTACAGCTGCAAAGAGGGCTATAACAGTATATAGCAAATGAAGGCTCAGACTAGGGACTCCTTTTTCCAGGGATGGATCACTAAGGGACACGTGAGAGTCCCTCTGCAAGAAAATATGTGCCTGTACCTTTGTGTAACATCAGGGCAATTGCAAACCTTCAGAACCTCAGCGATGGACCTCCTAGGGATCCACATTTCTCATGCTAGACACTCTTGGCATGGAAAGTCTGCACAGCATTATGCTAAGGACTAGTGCTCTGTGGCCAGAGCACCAGGGTCAGTCTCTGCTCACTCACTCATTAACTGTATGACCTCAGACAAGTTACTTCACTTTCTCTGTTTGTTTTTGTTTTTGGTTTGGTACCAGGGATCCAACTTGGGTCCTTGCACTTGCACAACAGGCAATGAAACCACTGAGCTAAATCCTCAGCCCCTTACTTCACTTTCTTGTGTCCTACCTTCTCAACTTTAAAAAAGTAATAACAATACTCACCAAGGATTGCCAGTAAGGCTATACTAGCTGTTCAGGGAAGCTGTCTCACTCCATGGCCTGCCAGCAAATGTGTCTGGACCATGGTGGAAAGAGTGACCTTACCCCTGTTGTATTGGTCCTAGTAGACCTCAAAAGCTTAGATAATATTTTTTTTTCTCTCCAAAGTACTGGAGATCAAACCCAGGGGCACTACCATCAAGCTACATCCTCAGTCATTTTTTTATTGTTTATTTTGAAATAAGGTCTCCCTAAACTGCCCAGGCTAGCCTTGAACTTTCAATCCTATCTCAGACTCCTAAGTGGCTGAGATTACAAGTATGTACCAATGAACTACGCTTACATATTTTAAAAATATGTACATTTAACTTTTTTTATTTAAAAGGAAAAAATCCCACAATTTGAAGATTATGATCAAAGACACTGTAAATTTTTTTTAAAAAACTGAAACTGTGAAATAGAACACAGAATAACTCTCAAGTCATAACTACCACAAATAATTACTAGGTAAACCCAAGTCAGCACTGGCCAGAGCAGACACAACAGTGCCAGTTGTCAGGAACTCCCTGTGTGTCCCTTCCCTCTCACCCAAGGTCATCATATTCCTCAATTTTCTGGAAATCACAGACTTGTAATTTTACCTCCATGTATACCTAGCTACTCAGGAGGCTGACGCAAGATGATCATAGATTCTAGCCCAGTGTGGCAACACAGCAAGACCCTCTTTCAAAATGAAAACTAAAGGGCTGGGCATGTAGCTCAGTAGTAGAGTGCCCCTAGGTTTTATCCCCAGTACTATAAAACAAAACAAAACAGAAGCAACCACTCCAAATGTCTATTACTCAATATTTTCCTTGAAAAACTAATTCGGTTTTAAAGCAAGAGAAGATGACCAATTCTCCCATAACTACAATAAAATTCAAGATATATGTTTCTAGAAACCAAATTGCAAAAGATAAACACTGCACTGGTGCAAATAAATACACACACACATTAAGGGTACAAAGTGGGTAAGTTCTTTAAGAGACTTTCTGCAAGTAACTGTAAGTTTTCAAAATTCATAAACACACTGATCCAGCAATTCCATTTTGAGAAATTTATCCCAATGAAGGTATTCAGGAGATAAATTTAGAGCATGAGCTCTGCAGACAGGAAAACCCAGATCCAAAGGCCAGTTCTGCCAATAACTAACCACAGGGCTCAAACACACTAGTAGACATTCCCAAGACTCAGTTTCTGCCACTATAAAAGGGGTGGTACCACCTACCTCCTAGAGTTGTGGTGAAGAAAGACCAAGTGAAGAAACACATTTGACTGCAATTTGTTTTTTGTTTTGTTTTGGTACCAGGGATCGAACTCAAATCCTGCGCTTGGGAGGCAGGGAGTGGAACCACTGAACTAAATCCCTGGCCTCTAAGAAACACATTTGAAACACTTACCATAGTCCCTGGCAAATACTAAACAGGCCATACATATGAATCATCATTGTCAGCTGGGCAAGAAAACAATTTGTGAAGTTCTAGAAAAGGCAATCAGAAAACACGTACACTCTAACAGAGGTGAAATGAGACACTGAATTGTAATCTCCAATAATACTTCCACAGACGTCACACATTAAGTCACCTGTATTCTTTGCCTTTGCATATTTTCTCAGTCAGGGCCTAAATGGAGTGTTGGCAGCAGGACCAAGTCTATGTGACTAGGCAGGACCTAGCCCTTTGGTGATGAAGATAACTAGCAGTTGCATGCCTTTTAGGCTTCAGACAGTACTTGGCAGGATGGAAAACAAACCCAAAACCACAAACTGCAGAAATTTAGTAAGGGCAGCCAAGACACCCCAGCTTCCCACTGCAAAAAAGCACTTGGGGAGCACAAGGGCAAAGTGGTACCACTGTGCTCTCCAGGGAACCCAACATCCTATGGGAACAGACCTACAGACAACTCTAGATATGAGTCTAATAAGCAAGTGCCAAGTAAGCTGGCTCCCACACTTGCAAGTGCCTCGGATTTGATTCTATCTTGCACACATGTACTATTCAGCTATCACTGATACAAAAGACATGCAAGGCTGACTCTCCGACCTCGAATCATAAGAGAAGGCTTTCGAAGATTTTCTCCCTCTGCAACCACTAGACAACAAAGTACTGAAAACCTGTACTGATGTGTACTAGACCAATTCTGTCTAGAGTTTCAATTCTATGAAATCAGATTAAAAATAATCTCCACCTCTAAGACAAATGTTTGAATGCACAATAATTTGCATGCAATTTAAGGAATCTCAAGAGGTCCAGGAACCAGAATTCCACCAACCATCTTGGTACCCTTAACAACTTCATTCAATCTTGTCAAGTATTCAAGAGTGCTTGAGCTGAGCACAGTGGTGCAATCCTACAATCCCAGCACTCTGGGAAGCTAAGGTAAGAAGATCACAAGTTCAAATCCAGTATAGGCAACTTAGCAAGACCATTTCAAAATAAAAAATTTTACAAAAGGCCTGGGGATATAGCTCTGTGTGAAGGCCCTGGGTTCAATAACCAGTACCGAAAAACAAACAAAGACCAACAAAAAACCAAAACCAAAAACCCAAAAGCCACCGTCAGTAGAGAAAGTGACAGCAAGAAGGCCTTCCTTTCATTTTAGAAGAACTCTAAAGGCAAGGGATAACTTGTACAAGAAAATATCTGGAATGATTAATATGAAGAAATAGAACATATTTTCAAAAAGAACAACAGAAAAGAGAGTAGGTAGAGGCCAATAGATCTCGGATTTACAAAGGTTCATACCTGGGGGATTTGTTCTCTTGGGTATGTTCTGAGGTTCTTCAGTTGGTCCAAAAATATTAGATGCCATCCTATTAGGCCTGTTTGAAGGAACAGCTTCTTCCAGACTTCCAAAAAGATTGCTAGATTCTCCTCCTGGGGGTTTCATGGCTCTATACACATAGAACAAACATGAGTTACTGATGGCTAGCCTAGAAGCTTGCCACTATGCAGGGTTATGGTATAGCTGGACAGGGAAGAAGTATTTCCTCAAGGTCTATGGATAAATCACATAGCACAATTATTTAAAGCTGGCCCGAAGAGTTTCTTCATTTACTGCCATTAAAATTCCCTTGCAAATTTTCTTTATGTATCTCAATTACGCCAAAAAACCCCTAAAAATTTATGTTTTGAAATTACTCCTATAATCTCTCATAAGTAAAATTAAAGTCTCCCTAAGACAGGTAAGTTGAGTTACACTCAGTATAACTTAATAATTTTATAGTACTAGTGTTTAGTTCTCTAAACACATTCAGTAGTGTTCAGTACTGTAGCTTACAGTTCAGTACTTACTATATGGCAATATTCTAAGTACCTTGGAAGCATGTTATCAGAACCTTACCACAACCCTCTAAGGCAGGGATTATCTTCAGATGATGAATGTGATATCTATAACTATGTCTTGTATAGTGATCACACTCTGAAACAATATTTTAAATTTATTAGGTTGGGGCTACCCACTCAGGACCCCTCCTGTCCCTCAGGAACTTTCCTATCAATAAATATTTTCCTACTTTAAAAAAAATAGAATAAGAATCAAGATATATCATGTACAGGTACAAATTCCTTATGATGAATGTGATCATTATGTATTCCTAAAAAGTACCAATAAACTTAATTTAAAAATATTAGGTTGATTAAAACCTATTAAAATTAATTTGTTCTTATTGCTTTTTGTTTTAATTTGGTTTTTGGAGTCAGGATCTTGCTTTATTGCCCAAGTCGGCCTTAAACTTGCAATCCTTCTGCCTCAACCTCCCAAGTAGCTGGGAATACAACTATGCACCACTGTGCCCACTTTTTGAAATGTGGCTCCTGAAAAAATATAGAATCCCACCTGTGGCTACACCTCTGCTGAGTGGTGTTGGCCTAGACCAGTGGTGACAAACCTACTGCATACGTGCTGCAGTGAGCTGTTTCTATCATTGAAAGTTCTAAAAAGTTTGCCATCACTGAGCTTAGACCATGGGAGGACTACCGATAACAATCCGAGTACTGGACATCTACGCTGAGTGACGATCTATGGTCCTGAGGTCTGTATAACCACCCAAATGCCCAGATTAGACAAAGAACCACCTGTATGTAAGATCACTGGTAGGACACTTGCCTAGCATGTATAAAGCCCTGGGTTCAATCCCCAGCACAGTGGGGAAAACAACAATGTACTAGAACCACTGTTCATTTTAGATTAGGACATACAGAATGAGCATCGCCTCTAAGATACACTGGCAGGTATCTGAACTGCTGCCCTGCTCCTGTCTGCTTGGGAGGAAGGGGAAATCCAATGTACCAAACGTGCCTGAAAAAGGCTCTGCTGAAGGGTTGAAGAATGTAACAGTTTTTTCTTTCTTTTCTTGGTGGTACTAGAGATTGAACCCAGGGCCTTGTGCGTGCTAAGCAAGCACTCTAATACCAGTGAGCTGCAACTTCACTGCTTTTTTTTTTTTTAGTACCGGGGATCAAACTCAGGTCCTTGCGCTTGCGCAGCAGGCAGCGAAACCAATGAACTAAATCCCTGGCTTCATCACTTTTTAAAAAATTCTGACAGAGTCTCACTAAATTGCCGAGGTTAGCTCAAGCACCTCATCTTCCTGCTTCAGCTGGGATTATAAACCAGTGTCACCACCCAGTTTGAAATTTAAAAAAACAACCAACAAGCAGGCTTAGTTACAAAGGCCTTCAAGCATGGCCTCTAGTCATCTCTTTGGAAAAACAGCTGGAGACCTGTAATCTTTAGAACTAAACTAAATTCAGTTTCATGTCTTATGCTAGCATGAACTGAAATCCTTATCTTACTGATTTATTTGGAAGATGGCTGTCTTCCAAACCCACAGGGTCCTGTCAGACCAGATCAGCACACTGCAACTCTACACTCTTAGCATCCCTCAAGTCACCTTTGGCTCTCACATTATCTGAGCAACAGTCACTGGCAACCCTGCACCAGATCCCAAAAGGGGGGAAAAAAAAAGATTAGTAAGAGCAAGTCTGCTACCCTGAGCTTCAGAGTTAATGGGAAAGCCAGGTCTGTCAGTTAGTGGTTTAAATGTTCCAAGTGAGTGACATGACAGAGGCACTGAGTATTCTTTGAACTTTAAGGCCACTTCTGAAAGAGCTGAGGCCCAAAATGAATCAGCAGGCAGGCACAGGAGGAATGTGGTAGTTACTTGAAATGAAATGTTAGTATGAGGATGGTGGAAATATATTACATATATTTAATACTGTTGTGTGTACTTTTATGAATTTTATGAGTCAACAAGCATAGAAAAGGAATAGTGGCAGAGATTGTGGTGTACAGAGGCCTGGCCACTTGGGAAAGGACAGTGGCCATCTCCATCACAAAGGCATTGAGGTCCAGCACAACAGGTTTCACCACCTGTAACAGTCAAGCAAGTGCCAAGGCTGCCCCAGCAGGGTCTCACATAAATGAGACCAAGAGTTCAATAGGCCTTTCAATGAAATCAGGGCCACAACAATGGTGTAGTGTGGCCTTCTGGAAGCTCCAAGCAGCAGTTATCACTATGATACTACGGGGGAGGAGAGTACAAGCCAGCTGAAGACACTTGGGGACAAATTCACAATGTGAGGTATATTCCAATTTTTCTTTTTGTAGTAGCTCTTCAACATATTTCAGTAAAGATATTTAAAATACACAAGAGAAAAAAAGGAGGAACTTCCAAGAAGAAAAGCCCACACAGCTCTAGTAGACTGTGGTTCTGGAGAGTCAAAGAACAAAAAGGAAACTCCAACTTGGAATCCTTCAATCAAGCCCATTGAACCCAGGGCCCCGGGCATTATAGGCAAGTACTCTACCACTGATATACATCCACAGATCTCACCTTGAAGGCCCTGCTCCTTCCTCCAATACCTCGTCCTCAGTTTCAGAAAAGCTTCTGGGGATTGGTTAGGTTTGGGAAGAAGCTGTGTGAAACTGACTTGGAATCAAATCTCCAAAAATATCAATTTTACAGTCTAAAAGACTTTAGATTAATGCATTTAAAACAATAAAACAATGCATTTACACTTCAAAATCCCTTAGCAGAGAATAATCCCTCTGCCACCAAAAAGAAGATGTAGGATTGGTCAGAGGATAGGAAAACCTGCAAGGGTAGGCGTACAGAGGCAGCTTGATTCTCTTTAGGGCAACACCTAATGTGATTCACAAGGCATCAGTCTGGCAAGGAGCTATCCTATCCTGCACCCAGGTAGGACCCCAGCCAAAACACAGCTTCTCACGGGTCCCCGGCAGAAGTTTCTATTAACACTCCATCGTCCAATAAAAAAGGCTGCTTTTCACTCTCCGTAATCCAAGTCTAATTTTTCTTCAATATCCTCTCCAAAGGATGACTACTCTTCAGCTCAGAAAGTCAGGGTCCCTCACGTGGATATCGATTCAACCACCACTTTGTGGGCAGCAGTGCGGGCAGCTCAGACGCACGGTAAGTGGAAAGTGGAGGTCACTCAAGTTGCTAAGGACGAGGACCCGCTAACGTTCACCCGAAACTTGACTCATTCCGCCCCGCCCCGTTAAGGCCGTACAGAGTCGAAGGTCCGGCAGTCAGTACACCTGGGACAAACCGTTGGTCCCAGCCAGGAACATTGGCGGAAGCTGCCCTAACTCGGCCACGCTTAAAGATCGATGAAGTGGAAGCTACAGAGGACCCTGAGACTCCGGAAGGCTCCGCCACACCCGCCCTGTAGCGCTCCCGAGGCGGGGCCCCGCCGATGCCTGGGCGCACTCGCATTCCAAGAGGACCTGGTAATCCCCGCTCCAGCACCTTTAGGAGGTCTCCCAGCCCCTGCCCGCCACGTGGCTGTGGCCCCGCGCCCGCGCACCTGGAAGCTGCCCGGCCGGCCCCGCCATCCGCACCCTGGAACATGTCGGCCACCGCCCCACGCCACTTCAGCCGCCTAGCCGCGATTCCCGCCCGGCCCCGCGCAGGTATCCTGGCCCGCCCACGCCCGTTGGAGGTAGTAAGCGCCAATCTCACCGTCGTAGCCAGTCGCGGCACAGGACTCCACCCCCGCCCGCCCCCAACGGGAGGAGGCCGGGACAAGTTGGCGTCGCGGTCGTAGTCGATTGGCCACATCCGGCGCCGCTCACAAAGCCGGGCACACGGATTGGTCCGCAACTGGGCCCGCCCTCTGTTCCTGGGCTCGTCCTTTCGGTACAAACCCCCAGCCAGAAACCAAATCCTTCCTCTTCAGGCCAAGTGGAGCGGGGCGAGGATTTTGGGTCGCGCAGCGGAGGGGCTTGAGCGCTTTGTAGTGCCCTCGAGAGGAAGCAAGGACTCAAGGTGGCGCTTCCCCTTCGCAGAGCAGAATCCGCTGGTTGAACCTTTGCCCCACGTGCCCACTCCCAGGGATCTTCGAACCTGCGAGTGCCTGCACACTCCTGCCCACTCCCAGAACTCGCGGGTGCCCGAGCCACACCTGCCTCAATGGGGGATCGCGTAATATGTGGGCTGCACCTCCGTTACACCTGCCCGCGCCAGGTCTCAACAGGGTACTCTGCCATTAAAAACAGAAGCACAATTGTCAAATCAAGTATTAGTGTGTATTTATCCACAATAAAAACATTTACAAGTTGAACTGGAAATTTACACAGTTTACCAGCTTTTATTATATTAAATAACCAAAACACCTTTTATTCCCAAAATTGGTAAAGAATAAATAATATAATTTACAATATGGTACAAAAAATAATCAGGAAGGACAGGCATTCTGCTTTTTACACTGTATATGTATATTTATAATCTATAAAACAAATTCACATCTCAAACAAGCCAGAAACCTTACATGATATGGCTTAACGATTATTAAAGCAAACAGCACAAGTTCTGCAGCCCACACCGCAGGCTACAACCAGGAATCCCATCTGACAGTGCAGAGGTGGGTTGGTGTAGTGCTTGCAGGACTAGAGTGACCTCACAGGACCAAAGAGTTACTGGGAGACTGGGAGAATTCTGACAGCTCAGAAAGGTGTACTGTGGGATTTTTCTTTAAAAATTTTTTTTCCCTTAAGAGAAAGTGCTGTATTTCCTCATGAATACATCCAACAGACCCCAGTGTTTAAAAAGCAGATATAACTTTTCCCTCCTCACTTGTTTCCAGCTCCTGTAGAATAAATCTGGACTCAATGGCATAGTCTAATTAAAGATGCTAGTAAGTCGAAAGGACCTCCTCCAGAAGTAAAGCCACCACACACAATGAAAAAGAACAGGAGTCCAAGACTAAGATCCTGGAGGTGTGGAAAACCAGGCTTGACAGACTGGTAAAAAGTCCCCAAAGATGGCCACTCCCTGACCAACACTCTATCCTACAGAATACAGAAAAATGAACTTCAACGTGGCTCTGGGTCTTTTTGAGGATGGAATGCTCATTACTCTATATTTGCAATAAAGAATCAAGGCCAAACACCAACTTCTTTTGATTCCAGAGATACTAGGTCTCAATCTTTAGAAAAGATGAATCAGCAAAAAGATTCCAGAGACATTATTAAAGAGATTAGGGAGATTTTTTTCTAAGAAAGTGATCTTGTCTCAAATACACGTGCTCAAATGCACAAAGGATGTCATAGATTCACACTGGACTGCACAACTCTGCTGGAATGGCAGAGGCAGTTAAAAGAAACTGGGAAACTTCTCTAACTAGATCTTTTGAAAATTCCATCCTTTTACAGTTGCCTCTTTTATATATCTTCACTTAGGCAAGGCAAAAAAGACATCTACTGTTTTCTCTGCTATGAATGACAGTTTTTACCCCCTTAAACATAGCAAGCAAATGAGAATACCTGTCTGGCTGCTAGAGAAACTGCAAAAATCTCTGAAATCCATCAGACTGACTGTAGGAAAGATGTCACCTGCCACTGGGTGACAACAGCTATAGCTGGCAGCTCCCAAGCTCAGTCTTCGCCAGGGTGGGTGGTGCTGCCACACAAAGAGCCTATGACACTGTTCCTAATATCCAGAGTTTTGTTCTTTTTAAGAGTTCATAGGATAATGAGTGCCTGATGTGAAGCAGTTTGGAACGGAGACTGCCTAGCACAATGCATGTGTCAACGGGGCACAATGCCAGCATCTATGGCCCCAGACTGTTGAGTGTAAGGAAGCTAGCAGAAGCCCAAGCTCAGCCTGGTATCCTTACGTACTGCAGACCAGAGAGATGTGAAAATCTTCAGCTCAATGCAGTGCTAACTTCAGGAAGCTGACATTAGGTACAAAACACAAGATACCCTAGTTCAAACATGGCTGTCTACCTCCTAATAAGGTGGTGTCATGTTCCTGTTTTCATCTCTTCCGAGATTAGAGACTACAGAGTGTCAGGGAGCTGTAGCATAATTTCAAGAGCTGGAGGAGCAGGGCATGGTGGTGCACACCAGTAATCCCAGCACTCGGGGAGGCTGAGACAAGAGGATCATGAGTTCAAGCCCATCTTGGGCAACTTAGTGAGACCCTGTCTATGAAATGAAATGGATGGGCAAGTATCTCAGAGTGAAGGCCCTGTGTTCAACCCCTAGTGATGCAAAAAGAGGGGAAAAAGATCTGGAGGAGGCAAGCACCAGGAGGAATGTGGCAAAAAAAGGAAGCTGCTGTCTAGAGCTATTGTTTTGGGTTTTTTTTTGCGGTACAGGGGATTGAACTCAGGACCTTGTGCTTTCAAGGCAGGCGCTGCACCACTGAGCTAAATCCCTGGCCCCAGAGCTGCTGTTCTATTTCCTCCATTGATGCCTGTAGTCTAGAGTGGGGGCAGTGAGATGACAGGATGGTCTATACCAGTTACCTTTCCTCCTCCTTATACACTGGCTCTCTTTTTCACTACCGATGGGAGACAGAAGACAGCTGGGGGTGGGATCTGGCTTTAAGGGGAACCATGCAAGTGAAGGAAGGGAGAATAGAGGAGGGGAGGAGAGGGATTGGCACATTCAGGTGGGTTAGAAATGACAATCTTGACTGCTGTGGATAGAGGGTGAACAAGTGAGAGGGCAACATGGGGACCATCTGCCCACACCACTACAAGAGATACAACTGGTGATTTGTGCACTTAGACCTCCTGAGGTTGAGAAGAAAAAGGAGCTCATGTTGGCCCCTTCTAGGGCAAGACTGGATGCTGGACCACCTGCAGTTGTAATAATTGGCCACCATGGAGTTCCACGTGGGAGTAACAACCAGAAGGCCATAGGTTGGTCAACTCTGACTACACTTGAACATCTAAATCCTTGCTAAGCTCCTTGAGTCGTGGAGACAAAGGCATGTATGAGGGACTAATTGTATACGGAGGAATACACTATGCCAACAACAGCAAAAGGAGGAAGCCTCTAAAAAGACAAAGCCTTCCCTACAAATGCAGATGTCTTAGATGCCAAACAGTAACACATGAAAGGCTAAAGAAGGTACGAGGAAAATCTTGCCTGTAATCATATTAGTGCTTTGGGGTGAGCCCAGTAGGGAGAAAAACAGATCTCACTTAGGATGAACCTGGATAGGGACACAGGAAAGAAAACAGATAGAGGATTCCGCTCTTCTGTGTCTGTCTCCTAATTCTTGAAAACAAGAAAAACATTTTCAACCAGCTTAGCAGGATCCTAAAAAAACATCCACGCAACCTGCATAAGACATGATTCCCTTTCCTGTTTCTGTTATGTCAGTCAGAACAAAACTTCTGGTGGGAAAAGCACTAGGAAAGGAGTATTCTGGGGAGATGACACTGATTATACTGCCCTAGGACCCTTCTTTGGCCCATGATCAGGGCACCCTTTGAAGTGTTTGCACTGTCAGGATGTGGATACCACCACACAGAAGCTCAGGCTACAGCCACTGTCCCCCTCAGCATCATAACAGAGTGACCAAAAAGGGCAAAAGGATGTCAGAAAGAAAGGAACGGCCCAGAATCTCCCTTAGATTACAGCTCCCAGGATGCAACAACTATGGGCACACCCTTCTTGAAAGGCATCCTGCTGAGGTAATCCATGCCACAGGAGAGGCAGTGTAGAATAGCCAAGCAGACCCCAGGACAGGTCCCAGGAGGACGGAGAATGGGGTAGTTCCTGATATTGGCCCTTCTCAGAGGTCATACTTGCTCATTATGGTCCCTGCTTGCTGGGATGGGGCTCTGGGATAGCTGGACAGCTCTTGCATGCTGCACACCCTGGGGTCCAGAGACAGTCTTCTGAGGATTCTGGACTTGCCTTCTTCCTTTAAGTTGAAGAGGATTTTATCTGCCACAGGTGAGGACAGCTAGCACACTAAGCCTTCTCTACAGCCTCCAGGTTACCCTCCCTACAAGGCATGGTCACTGCGAGAGGTCCCCAACAGAAGGGCCGCTTCCACCACTATCAAACAGAGCCTCTCGGCGCCCAGGCTCAGTGATGGACAGCTCTTGAGCCAGGTCATTGAACCGAGATATATAATCAATGCTGTTTTCGTTCATCATGCATGCCAGCTGGGAATCCACCACCTGCAGAACAGAGGGAAAAGGAAAGACCAAGTCAGCTAGTGGCTGGCTTGCCATGCCATTGGACTGGAGGAAACTGGATGCTAAGGTGGGAACATCAGTGGAAGAACCCAGTGCTCAGTGGAAAATTTTGGAATCCCCTCTGTGATCTGAACATGCACTGTTTCTGCAAGTACTCATGGAGTGCCCACTGAGCACTTGACGAGTCTGGTGTCTGGGATCAGTGTTGGCAGCCTCCCTCCTGAGACTCTGGGTTGGAAGTCAACAGTCCATATAGAAGCAAATAGTATACCATGAAAGTCAAAGCTCAATAAAGAGCCTGAAGGAAATAAAAGCAGTTTGCTACGGAATAGGGTCAGAAGAGGGCTCTCCACGGACCCAGAATCTGACAGGTGAGGGAGTAAATTACATGAACATATAAGGAAAGAGTATTCCTAAAATAAAAAAAAAGATTATTCCTATCAGAAAAAATAGAAAATACAAAGGGCCTGAGATGGGCCCCGGTGGCAGCTGTTTCAGAAATACAATAGTGGCCACGAGGCTGTGAACAACGGAAGACCAGGAAGAAACAGGGCTCTGATAGGGTCTCAGGGACTAGGACTTTATCCTAAAAGCAAAAACATGGAATTGCTGGTCCTCACTGTTCCTGAGGCAGCCTTACAAAGACGGGGACCTTTGTTTTGTTCACTCTGTGACTGCAGCAGCACCTACCACAGAGTAGTAGACAAATGAATAAAATTTGTTAATATATGATATGTCATAGGGAATGAATGAAAAGCCTTTGAAAAATTTTGAGTAGAGGTATGGCATGAACTGAATTTGAAATTTTTTATTATATTTGTTTTCTGAAGTACAGCAAGTGACCTTCCTTCTTCCATATATTTGTCACCAGGTTCCATCATCTCTCCCCACCAAATCCTTACCCATCACTTTTACTCAAGTCCCATCATCAGCCATTTCACTGATAAGTGTTTCAGATCATTCTTGTAGATAAGGAGTCTTCCAAACACTCTTAAAAATTCTTTCAATGGTGGTTTTAAGTATAGAGTTCTCAAGAAGACCTTCTGCTAAATGTGTTTTTATGTTACTTGCTATGGACAGTGTTCCATGCAGCTCACTGTCACCTCCATCATGTCAACCAGGAAGCTTGCTGATAATGCAAACTCTGACTTGGGGTCCCGGGATGGGCCTGAAATTCTGTGTTCCTAACTCCAAGGTGTTTCTGCAGGGCTCATCTCCAGGGAAGCTGGAATGTCCACACTAATATGGAAATGGACTGGTTTCTTGTGAAATATTTGTGTGACAGGTGTTTTGTGAATAAAGATTCTGTGGCTAAATGGGTTTGAGGAATACACCATGTGAGGGAAAGTCATTATGTTATGGTATCTACATTTATATCGGCTGAAATTTTCAATCGTATCATGGCTTGCTCAGAACTCTCCAAAGCTGTCCTTTAAGTTTACCATTTTCAGATACACAATAGCATACAAGAAGCTGGGGAGCCCACGGGCAAGAGCTGTTTTGAATTGTGGTTAACCCAAAGGTTCCACTCAAGTGCCTGACTACAGAAACCTGCAGAATACCTGCCAAGGCCTTGAAATCCTGGGGACCAGTTTGGGAAATGTTGCTCCAGGAATCTGACAACAGGCCTAAGCCCATCTAAGTAGCACTCTAGATTTAGAACCCTCACCCCCACCCCCACCCGCACCCCAGGTACATGCTTTGCTCAAATCTCTCTACGGCCTCAAAAAAAAAATTTTTTTTTAATTTAAAAAAAAAAAGTCTTGCCTTTATATCAAGCACCTGCCACAATGTAACTCCTACCATCACTGCCTGAACGTGGGAGAGGTACCAGTGGAAACTGGATAGGGCCCTTCTGTAGAATTTGTCTTAAGCTCCACTGGGCCATGGCTGTAATACAGTACCATGAAAATGCTGCTTGAAGGTCTCCTATTGCTAGGATGGGATAGTGGTGACACAATCTTTTACAACTACCTCTTCATCTTCCACAATGGCACTGTACTTCACACATCAGCAAGCTAAACAGCCTGAGGTTACAGAACTGAAGAAGGACAGGATGCAATCCAACTCAGCTCCACTTACCTTCAGAGACCCCACTTTCTACCCTGACTCCAGGACTTCCCAGATTCTGATGTCTACAGGGCCAGCTGTTACTTAAGGTCTGCTGTTGACTTAGATCTTAAGTTGGCAGATCGTAAGAGGTCAGAGACTCAGATTTGTACATGCTGACTCCTGATGTCACCTCCTGACAAACAGTTCTTATAACCCAGAGTTCAGGAAGGACCAGGAACTCTGGGACAGGGTGGGCATTCAAGTTCAGCGGCACAGTAATGAACTTACCTCTGCAACATCAGCCAAGGACCTGGACACAAAAGAGTCTCTCGAGTTTCCATCCAACAAGCTGGGGCCAAGCAAGGAAGTGCCACTGTTGGATCCAATGGGAGTTGGAAGCATCTTTCGGCTCTTCTCTGGGGAGATGAAGCTGGCTGCACAGAGAATGCCAAAGACAATACCCTGAGCCCATGGAAAGTCCTGAGGGCTGGAGGCAGCCAGGAACCCTCCAGGCCTCAACCCTCATGCTTGCCTGGAGGGCTTAGATGACACCATCATATTGTGACTGACTTTTCTCATATAATGACCTGTCTATCTGTCATCTTCCAAGGGCTCCAAAGTGGTGCATTATCTAGTTGCTTCAAAAATTTAACTGTCTGTGACCACTCCCTCACTGAAAGACACTTAGGCTGTTTCCAACTTTTCATGACTTGTATGTGGCTTTGCTTATGTCTACACTGTTATATCTGACCACAGGAACCATTTATGCGGGGCTGGTTCCCTTTCATATCCCAGACTCAGACCTCCCCACCCCAGGCCTCCTGGGTCACCAGATATAACCTCCATAGTTGCAGCTAACTAAGTTCAATGTGTATACAGCATGCCCTTCTCTGGGGCCATCTGTCAATTAACTATCTCTAATCATTCATCATCCTATAAAACTTCATATATGTAAATAGGAGTGCTTCCTATGCAGGTAATAGTAGCTGTGTGTGACTTTTGACATGTCCCTTCCCTCATACTAACACTTGGTGCCCAGGGAGCAAGCACATGGGGGGAGGGAGGGCACATCATCTTATGGGTCTCCCATGTATGGCTTAGAATGTGGCACATGATGACTGCAATGTCCACTTCAGAATATTTTAGTGACTACAAAAAAAAAGGTGAACATTCAAAGACAGCCAATTTCTTCTTCCTCACTCAGCAGAGACCTGAGGGGAGCCAAGTAGGCAGGGGCTAGGCTAGCTGGACAGTTTGGAGAGGGCACAAAAAGCTATGTGGGCGACAGGAATCTTGTCTCCTTTGGGAACTATGCACTAAAAACCTGTGCATTTTGTACAAGTTATACCTAAAAAAAAAATTAGCTCAGAATAAAATAACCACTTTTGGAACAAATACTCAATAGTCAAATACTCAACAGTTCTAGTGCAGGTTTGGCCACAGAGCCCTGAGGAAGCTGTGTTTCCCAAACTCCATTCTCTGCTGGTATGGGAAAGGAGACGCTCTCCAGATACTCACCAAACAAGCTGCTCAGTGAGGAGTCTGTGGAGTCACTGGGGTACCACTGGGGATCATGGGTGGGAGAGGCAATCCAGTTGGGCTGGGGGCTGCTAGATGGGGAGGGAAGGCTCTTGGAACTGTCACTGCCATTCAGCTTTGCTGGAGAAAGAGGGACTCCTTCACCTGCCAACCAAAACCTTGAGTCAGAGACACTTCCTCAACCCACAAAAAAAAGCAGTGGTGGGGGTGCTACATACTGCTAACCAGGCTCACTCTGCCCCAACTTCATCCTGATGTGGTCTACAGACAAGGACAGCAAAGCTTGGAGGATGGCTTTGGGCCATAGGAAGGACACGATGCAGAATATAGCAACAACAGCATGCTCCATGGATGGGGCCAGGCCTTTTGCCCAGACCTCCACTCTGAGCATCTCCATAGCATCTGCCATAGCACTGTGAAGTACATGCTCTTCCCAATCTGGTGCCCCCAAACTTAAACTCAAATGCAATGGTGGCTTGGCCAAGGCCATGTGCTAATCACTGCAAACTCACATTTGTCTAAACCAATGGCCTGACTCACACTAGTAAAAATAGCCATACTATGTTGCAGGAACATCACGGAGAGTGAGTGGGTCCAAGACCTTGATAGCTATAAGTTGGGCTACTTGCTGAGCACTGCAAAACCCACAGGCTGTCTGCCATACTCACAGTCAACCAGGAAGGCATCCCTGCTGATCACTGGGCTACAGAAGGCCTCGTGGGCCACCTTGCTCTTGTCTCAAAAATTAAATGCAATCCTATCAGACCATTAATAGCCTCAGATCCCACATGCATCTTCTCTGTCTGCATGGCCCTGGGGGAGTCAGGTGGCAGCAATACCTTGTCAGTGGCAGGTATTTAATGCTCAAAACCAAGAGATAAACTGGAACATTCCCAGTACGTTTGGTAAGTACTTAGCAGGTCAGGACCCCTCAAGGCATGTCTGACTGCCATGTACTAGGGGGAAGCTGGTGCCAGAAAGGGTACGCAAGGCCTGGTCTTACCAAACTGGCCTGAGCTAATTGCGATCTCAATGATGGAGTCACTGATTTGTGTTGCAGGTTCTCCCTGTGAGAGCACATCCTCAGGTGGGCCAGGCAGAGAGATGTCCAGCAGTGCAGAAACATTAGGCGGGGAGAGCCGGGTGCTAGAGCCCTCTGATGAGGATAAAGGTGTGCAGAGACCATTCTGGAGAGGAGTTTTAGGCAGCTCAGACAAGGAGAGAACAGACGAACCCTGCTAGGAGACAGGTATTGTTTAGATACAAGTAGCCACTCAGAACCCAAAATAGCCTCACACAGCTTCAGCTTCACAGCTAGCCTCAGAGCCTAAGAGCCTCACAGCTTGGTGGCTGCAATGGGTGTAGGAGTCTTTGCATCTTTTCAAGTGAGGAACACAATAAGGGAATCTACCCCTCCCAGAACTACTTGCAACAGCAGAGTCAGAAGGCCAGGCCAAGGTACACTAAGTCTGCTTCCACTGCCACTAGTGGTTCAACTGGAGAAACAGAGGCAGAGGGCAAGTACTGGAAAGCCACCAGCTGATCGCCTCTTTTTCCCTGGCCCAGAACCAGTCCAGAGTCTGAATGAAGACAGGTGAATTCATTCATTCACCACTGAGTATACAAGGTAGGTAGAAAGAACTGAACTGAACTGACTGTAACCAGGGAGAGTAGGGACTCAGCACTGGAGGGGATCCTGAGGTAACTATTTTTGCTCTGCAGCCCCAAAAAGACTCTACCTGAAAACTGTCCGCCACTGGCTTCTGCTCCGGCCCTGGGGGAATGCTGATGAATGGGTTGCTCGTGCCCTACGAGATCACCAGAACACCAGTGAGTAGCCCGCACGTGATGTGCCAGAACTGCACCCAAGTGTTCACCTAAACAAGCTCCGGAGAAAGAGCTGTTCGCTCACCCTGGCCTCCCACTGGCCAGAGAGGCTCTCAGCTCTCATGCTCTCAGCTGAAAAAGCTGTATAATCATTTTCACTTAAAATTTTTTGTTGTTTCAAAGAAAGAGCTCAAGTCCCATTAAGAAGTCAGTGTCATAATTTTAGACAGATAAGGCTCCCTGGTACCCTATGGGGCCAACTCGCCTACCTTCCCCAGGTAGTTTTCAAACAGGCTAAGAAACTTGAGCACTTGCAGAATTATGAAGGAGGGGTGGTTAGGGCCATGAGCATATTCTCCACCCAGATCCATGAAGTGCTCAGTGACCTCTGAGCAGGGAGCCATGGGCTGACTGCTGGCCAAACTGGTTGCGGTTCAGAGCAATACTGTCATGTGTCTTAGCTCTGGATTCTCCATCACACAGCAAGCCGGTCCTTTCACCTCACTTGTTCTGTACTCCACACCACTCATTTGCACCTTGGCCTCCTTGGCTCAGTGGCTCCTCTAACCCCTCAGGCCTAACCCCTCCATAAGCAGAGCTGGATCCAGCATGACACCAGCTCCTTGGCCTGGCTCCCACTTCAGAAGCTAGTGGTATACCAAACAGCCCTTCTGAACCACTCACCCTCATGGTGGGGACAGGGTCTCCATTCTGGCGGGGTCCAGTGGAGTCCTGACCTGAGATGGTAGCTGTCACCTCATCTGAGGACAGTGGAGAGATGCCAGATAAGCTGTCAGTCTCCAAGACTGGTAAGGGGCTTCCAGGAATGATGCCAGCACTCTGTGCTGCTAGGTCAATTGCACCTGGCAAGAGAAGCAACATTTCAAGCCTCTGCTCCATGACACTTCATGATGTGTGTGTAGAAAGCTCAGGAAAGCTTCCCCTTCGCTCTTCACATCAATGCAAGAGCCAATAGTTTTTATGTTCTCTTTCAAGGTTAATGAGACATTACAGTTTGGAAAAGAAAATACTACACAGTAGTTATCACCATGAAGGCTATGGACTCACTGGCCAGGTGACTTGCGGCCTGGGATGGAAGGACCTTGGGCACAATCGGCCGAGACAGTGCTGCTTTGGTCAGAGAAGACTGGATGGGCCGGAATGAGCCTCTCCCTGTGAGGAGAAGACAAAGACAGACACATCAACCTGCTGGCCTATGCCTTTCCAGCACACAATGGAGCTGCAGATTTCCTTCATAGATGCAGCTAGGATCAGAGAAATCACACAACTTTCCAAATATTTGCTAACTTGGGGAGTCAGAGGTCAACCAGGAGCCCAATAGGGAGCACAGGTCTGGGACCTGCCTTGGTAGTACCGCTATGCCTCTCAGGAGCTGCTAAATAGTCACCACTATTATCTCCTGGGAATGGCCCTTTGTGACAAGCCCATGCAATGAACTGTGGCCTCCTTTGAGGTGATCAGAGCATCCAACTTTGGACTGAGACTCTGCCACTGCAGTCTGGTTTTATCCTGTCTTCTATAGCGGCAAAGTGACCATGAGAGTTGGGCATGGTGGCACACTCCTGTAATCCCCACACTCAGAAGGCTGAGGCAGCAAGATCTCCCCAAGTTTGAGGCTGGCCTAGGCTACAAAGTGAGTTCAAGGCCAGTTTGAACTATACAGAGACCTTGTCTCAAAAAAAAAAAAAAAAAAAAAAAAGCAAGCATGAGAGAAAGCAGTCAATAGCAGATTAAAATCAAGACGACAGGTAAAAAAAGACAAATCACATAGTACATTCCTATTTATACTCTACTGTATAAGATGCATTTCAAAGTGCAGGGGGAAAAAACCCCAAAAAACACCAAATGCAGGGGCCCTGATTAATCTACAGACTTATGAAAGAGTGATCTATATACCCCCAAAACATATCTACTCATAAAATGTTTGATATAACTCTGCACACAGAAGATGGACAGCAGATCCTCTGGTGAGCTGGACTGAACAATGCAGCCAACAGGGCCTGCTGAAACCACTTTTGGAAAAGTACTCTCCAACTTACCTTTCAGACTCCTCTACCTGGCCCAGCTGCAGGCAGCCAAAGCACAGAGGCACACATAGTATTTGCTGGTAGACTGCAACCAGGAATGCTAGGAGTGATCCTCGAGAAGCCAATACTCACTGTCCCAAAGTGAGGCCATGGTCAGGTTAGGAGAGGGGATAGAGCTAGCCCAGAGAAGTGCAGGCCCTTACCAGCTATAGGAGAGTTAGACAGGATGGAGAAGGAGCACACATTGTGGGACTGGTTTTCAGATGGTCTAGGGAGCAGTGTTCTCTGTAAAGAAAAAATGCAAATAATCAAGGTGATGAGAAGACTCTAATGCCAAAAAAATCTTTCCAGGAACTGGTTTAAAAGGAATATTCTAAATCAAAGGGAGCCAAGTATAAGTGGATAAGGAGCTTGCTTTAGATTTGAAGACATAAGGATGCCTACGGTGGGTGGAGGCTGTTATATCCTGTGGGCCCCGAACCCCAGAATACTGGATCCTCTTTGAAACCCAGGGACTTAGACCTTTCCTAAGGAAAACTAGAAGAATGTCAGTGATCCCCTTGAATCCAGAGTGTCCTCCTGGATTTGGCTGGAGCAAAACTAGGTATATACATCTGTTTACAGGCATGGAATGGGCTGAGATAAAAGAGTTCTGTCCTGGGCTTTCTTACTGGTGGAGTGAAGAAAAGAAGGTGACTGCTTGTGGCAAGAGAGTGCCAAGTGGCAAGAGACGCTCTTTTACAAGGCTCCCATGTATCAACAATGAGGTTTCAGGGTGCTCTGCATGTCTTTTGAATGATCACTACCAGCTGAGACAAAATTGTATCAACCACCAAAACTGGTAGTGGTCACAATAAAACATCCACACAAGAAAATACCTCCTGACGAATATGTATAATAGATATTGTGAAATAGGAAGAAAATGTTCAAATGAATAGAGGAACTAGGGAGGAGGGTGGGGGAAAAGAAGGAAGGGAAAAGAAAATGAGAAAAGAAGGAAAAAATGGAAACAAAGCTTTTGTAAATAAGGAGGGGAAGAGGGATTGAAGGGAGGTTAAGGGAATGGGATTAAAAGAATCAAGATATATCATGTATAGGTACAAATTCTCTATGATGAATGTGATCGTTATGTATATCTAGAATTACCAATTTAAAAAAAAAACCCTGGCCAATCCAATAATGTCATGAGGCACTTCGGTCTGCTGTACAGCTGTTCATGTATGAAGGACTCAGAATGCATTCGGACCTGAGACCCACAGCACTGATGTCAGCACAGATCAGAGGGCAGATGCTATTGGAGATGCCGGTGGGGAGGATCCATTAACAGCTCTGTATGCTCTCTGCCTGCCTTGCTTCAAAGTCTAAGGCATGGATCAGTAAACTTTTTTCTATAAAGGGCCAGGCAGGAAGTATTGTAGACTTTGGGGCCATAACTGACCCAGCCACTGGAAAGCAGCCATGGACAGTACAGAAATGAATGAACATGGTTGTTATTTATACAAATATTAAAAGGAAAAGATCACATATTGCATGATCCCATGTTAGGAAATACTCAGAACAGGTAAATCTACAGAGACAGAAAATGGGTTGGGTGTTTTGGTGCCTATCTGTAATCCCAGCACTTGGGAACCTGAGGCAAAAGGATCACTGTGAGTTTGAGGCCAGCATGGGCTACACAGAGAGGTCAAGGTCAGCTTGGACTGGACAGTGAGACCCTGTCTCAAAAGAAAACAAATACCCTGAAAATAAATTAGGAGCTGTCAAATACTAGAGGGAAGGTAGTGACAGTCCAGAGATACGTGGTTTATTTTGGATTATCATGATGTTCTGAGTGTAGTGATGGTTGTATCTCACCATAAATATGCTATAAGCCATTGAATTGCACACTTTAAATGGATACACCTTTTGGTATGTTAACTATAGATCACAAAAATGTTTTAAATATAAAAAAGAAAAACAAGCTGGATTTAGCCCACGGGACATAGTTTAGGACCCTTGACTCCAGAGTTACATAGATCATGTCCAGCCAACAGTGGTTTTCCCACTATCAGGGTAAAGAATTAAATATACTAAAGTTAAATGTACTAAGCCTGAACAAGAATTATCTGGACTTGAAATACATCTTTCTTCCTAAGGCCTTTCATTCAACTCTTGTTTTTAAATAAACTAATCTCAAAAGAGAAAAACACTTCTAAGAGTCTAACAAAAGGAACCCTGTCATTATGCTTCCTGAAAATATACATTCATATATTTCTCTTTTTTTTCTTCAGTACTGGAGAACAAAACCAAGGTTTCATGCATACAAGGCAAGTGCTCTATCACTGAGCTACATCTCTAGTACACATGCATAAATTCCTAAGGCCATAATTATTTTAGACTTGCATTCTCGTTTCCTTTCTTTTTCCCTTGAAATGACACTGTCCTCCCCCTCAGGTTCTCAGATGCCCTGCCTTGTAGCACAGAGGATCTGTGGGTTCCACCCCTTCCCTAGCACTCATTACACAGAGCCCGGGCCTTTGCTGACCAAACTCTAGCCAACTTCTTCCACTGGCTAAATGTACATCCATACATGTTTGTTTTTCTTTTTTCTTTTTCTTTCTTTTTTTTTGAGACAGGGTCTTGCTATGTAGTTCAGGCTGGCCTCGATAACACTGTGTAGCTTGGGTTGGCTCTGAACTTGCTGCAATCATCCTGCCTCAGTCTCCCAAGTGCCAGGATTATAGGAATGTGTCACCAGGCCTGGCCCCTCAACACATTTTCTGACTGTCCTCCAAGAGACCCCAGTCTGGACATTCTTGGGACTTGGATGGTTAAAACTGTCTTTTGTGAAAGTGATTTTCAATGCTATTCAAAGACTATTTTTACTTACAGGTACAATTAAATTCACTGCTGTTACTTTTATTTTTCCTATTCATAAAAAGAAAGGAAGGGCCAAGAATATCCCCATTTTATGCTCTAAAAACCTAAGACACAGAAGACCAGTGTGCCATGGCTAGATTGACTAGTGAGAGCCAGGAGCTTGAGCGAGGCTCCCTCACCTGGACCACCAATGGCTTCCGTAGATGCCGGTTCCGCAGTTTCCTGGGCTTTGGCAAGAAGAAGTCTGACTGCATCTGGAAGAGAAAAAGGACATGCACTCTAAGGGCTCATCCTACAAGGCCTGGCAGCCTGGTCTGGCATACAAATATGGCCTGGCACTCACACTAATTGAGTTCAGGTGCTGCCGGAAAGTCAGCTCGGCTTCTTTACTGGGTGAGAAGAGCTTCCCATGTCGGCTGTTTGGTGGCAAAGTTGTAGGGACAGCAAAGAGGCCACCATCTGAGTCACTGCTTCCTGTGCTGGAGGGACCAGCCACCAAGAGGGGTCTGGGGGGGTTTCTCAAACCTGAAAAAGCAAAAAGGAGAGTCACACAAGCAACACATATCCACAACATGTCTAGGGTGAAGGGAATTCTGCTGAGAAGACAATCAGGAAGGAATCCTCTGGACAGCTCTTCAGCTACATGTATCTTATCTCTCCAAAACACTGCCCTTTTTCCTTGCTCACTGGAATTCCTGTACTCATTGAGAATACTACCAGCCTGTTGGAGAGGACAATCACATCACCACTGTTCCATGCCCAGTGCCTACCACCAAACTTTCCAGAACTAGCAGAGCCTGGAAATCTTATAAAGAACCAAAGCCACCAGACCTCTGCAAAGGGCCAGAGAGCAATATTGGCTATGCAGCAGCAACACAGCCACTCACCACACATTCATAGGTGAGCACAGTCATGTGCTAACATGGCTATACACCCAAGGTACCCAAGGCAGTGGGCCAGACTTGGGCCACATCCTGCCATTTGCTGATTCTGGTCTAGATCTCTAATGTTATGGAAAATAAACCCAGATGTAAAAAGACAAAAAATATTTCAAAACTACTTTTTTGGGTAGATGCTGCTACAAAGCACCCTCAGAATTCAGTTGGATGGAGTGCTCTGAACTGACATGAAAAGTTTGTAGGTCAGGTACTCCAAGTATCAGTACAGACTACTAGAAATATAGGCCTCTTAGTCTATAAGCATCCTCCACCAGGAAAAGGAAATTAAAAAGGACACAGAAACAGGAAATTTAAAAGTAGAACATGAGGCAGGAGGACTGCTGTGATTTCAAGGTCAGCTTGAACTACACAGTGAGACCCTGTCTCAAGAACAACCCATCCCCCCAAAAAGAGAAAACAGGAGACAGGGGCTGAGAATTTAGCTCAATGGCACTGTACCTGCCTTGCAAGCACAAGGTCCTGAGTTCAATCCCTGGCGGGGGTGGGGGGTGG